CCAGCTAGCCAATCAGCGCGCTGGGGCCGTCAATCGACAAAAGTGCCGATTTTCCTTGTTATGAAAATTAGGGAACATTTTGCATGAAGTTTGTACCACACCGTAAAGAAATTTGTCTTTTTCTTTGCTGAAGACGTTTGAAAGACCTGCACCCATACTGATACAATGGTTTCGTGCAGAGTCGTAATTCATTTGCGCAATTGAGAAGTAGACGCATTCGGAATAAATCTGATTACAGTCGTCTTCGTTTGTAACCAGTGAGAAATCTGGCTCGCAGTAGCAGTTAGCTGAAAATTTTGCTTATTGACTTGAGTAATTATGAATTATTTTGGCTTGATAAGTGGTTATTAGGCCTTTTAAACCTTATGGTACTCTATAATCTTTAGTTTTTGTTTTATTTTATACTCCAGTTTTCAAATATCTCGTTGAAATTGGATAAAACTATGTTCTAAAGGATTTATATACAAATACTTGCTTTGAAGGGTTCTAAAGACAGGCTCATGGAGAGTAATAGCTTTTTGTACAGTTGATGGAAATCGGTTGAAGGGTTGTGGCAAAATTAGTGAAGATTCTTATCAAAAATACGTTCAGAAATCAGTGGAATAGGTTGGATTTTTGTGTCTGTATGGGCAATCGTTAAGGATATCTTTTGCTGTTTGATGGAATAAAGACAATATTTTTGCTGTACGACGGGTATTGACGGAGGACATTTATACTCAAGAAGAATGAAAAGATTATGAAATAAACTGAGTAGAATGTTTTTGAGGGGAACAACACACTCGTTCTGTTAATCGGCAGCACTAACTTTTAATGATGTTAAACTTCAAGCAGAATTTCTCACGACAAGGACAAAGCAATTACGCAAGCAGTTAGAAAAATATAGGTTGATCATTTTCATAACTGGACTAAGAAAAAGATTACTTAGAAAAGGGATAAAGGTATTCCTAGAAGTAACACATAGACGATGGAATTTTTCTGGCGGCAAACTGTAAAACTTTGAGACGGATTTTACAGTAAAAGCGTGAAGAAGGTGAGAAATCAAGACATTGGGGACCGAAGACAGATAATTTTTAAATTAAAGAGAATTTATGTATTACAAACGCAGGAAATTAATTGTTTGAAGTTTGTACAGTTGTGCAGTACCTAAACAGTACAGTTTCAAACCTGCGAGGAAAGTTTTGTATAAGCAGCTTTAGTTAATGAGTATTTTTTTAATAACGGGTTGAAACTTAGGTTTCTTCACTTAAAATTTTTTGGGACTTTTCACCAGATATTTTTTGTGAGGATGGGAGTCTTTTAAAGAATAATTAAGGACATCTTCTTTCAAAAGTTTTATTAGAGGTATTTTGTTTGTGCTTTCGTTGCTTATAAAAGTTTTTTATCTAGTAGATACCTCGTTGTTGGCTTCCATTTTTTAAAGAGTACTAAAACTAGAGATGAAGCTGAAAGTATGCTTATATTGACTGAAGATAGAGAGACGAAGGGCGGCTTAACAGGGGACGGAAACATGGTCTCTATCAGAGTATACAGTCAAAGCTCAAAAAAGCTTAAGAATTCTAGTCTTGACTATATAAGGATTACCTTTGCATAAAAGATTAACAATATTTGCCGCATAGTCATTGTCTTGATTCATTTTGTAGCAAGGTGTTCCTAAATCTATTGATGGATAGTCGGTGGATGAAACCTTCCTTGCCACAGTAATGATCGTGATGCCGCTGGACTTCATATGTGACGCTATTCGGCAAGCGTAGTCTTCGTCAACTTTCATTTTTAGAGATCTATATTATAAGTTTTAGTTTGGTTAACAATGTAACCGATCAATGATAGCTATCTTTCTCAAGTCTGGATACATGTTGCATGTTTTCTTTTTTAGCTTTATGTTTCAAATATACTGCCAACACTTTAAAAGGCCAAATAAGATATTCCATCTATTTGTTTCGCCATTCAGAGGTGTCATATTATTGGCAATATTAGGAATGTCAAATTACTTTGATTTCGCACAGTCAAAGCCTCTGGTTGAGAACAAGATCACAATCTTTTTGAAATGGGTTCTGCGGCCGTTAGCTACTTCGATATCAAACACTTCTTTTGCAGCTTCTAGAGCCCTATAAAACATTATAACGACATCAGCAGAAATAAGGTGTACTTCAAAATTAGCAACTGTCTAGCACTTGAGAGCTAAGACCAGGAGGATAAAGCACAGAAAAACTCTCACAGGTCTGCACGAAATATAGAACCTCCCAGCATAGGTAACTTTTTTATGTCTTCAGTGGCTTCTCTGGTGTTTTGGTACTTTGTCAGGTTAGCAAATATTGTGGCCTAAAACATGAAACCTTTCCCTCCTTTAACATTTAATAAACTGAATTAGGTCTAACACTGATTAAGGGATTTTTAGTGAACTGTTTCCAGTGTCGTCCTCTTGTCATGGTGGGAAGTGGTTAAGTGGTTAGAAGGGCAAAGCTACCTTACTACCGCCGTTGATTATTCCAATTCTACTATGCTGTCCCTCGCCTTGGCCAATATTCGTTGCATTAACCAGAGCTATCAGAAAACTTCTTATCTAAATTATATTATCGTTTAAATTACTTTAAATGTTTAAATGATTGGCACTCAACAAACGCTGTATCTTTCGCTGCTGCTTGTTCTCTATTGGGTTTCACTGGTTGTGACAATTAAGTGCTCAAAGGTACTGGATTACTATATTTGTTTGAAGAACCGTCTCCGTTCTTCTTTTCAAATCTTACAACATTGTGTGGCCATATGGGATTTGAAAGTAAGAAGCCGCTGTAATAGTTGTACGTTTCATTATGCTTCAAGAAAAGGCTATAATTAATATCAGAAAATAAATTAAGCAGCTTCGAATTACTGTTTAGCAACAAATGATGCGAGTCTGAGAGAAAATAACATATTGTACAAGAATTATGAATAAGAAGTGATAGCAATAATGCTGTTTATTTTTATCAATTAAATAAGGCTTTGAAGTTATACCAGTCTTGAAATCTTTCGCTAAATATTACTCTTGACACTTAGCTTTTTATTGAACAGAATTTTATGTCAGTGGTGTATAGTAAAGCTTGGCGATTTAGAACTGTAATTAGTTTTCCTGTCAAAACAACTTTTTTTGCGAAGTTATCACATAAACGAGCTAAAAAATTGATCAAAAATAGACTTTAGCAAGTTTGGTTGATCAAAAAGATAAAAATTTTATTCTCTAAAGAGTATTTTCGTTTGCGCCTTACAACCATTTGCTAATTAGATGAAGGCAGTCATTTAACAAAATATGGTGAATGAAGCCGATTTTAAACTTTCAATACAAAAATGAATGAATAACAAGATGGACAATAATCTACATACCGTAGCAGCTGAATCATCGACAGCACTTGTGTCCATAACAATTACGACATCTGCCCAGACGCCTTTCAGCTTATTATTGTCACATCCACATAGCGGAGAATTATGCGTATATAATTCTTTTGGCTCATGGCTGACCTCTATAATACAGATACTACAGAGAATTTTGAAAAATTGATAAAAAAAAAGTAGATACCAAGCAGCTAAAAGCATTTGTCGCTTCAATAAACATTCTTTTCTTGGTAACAGCTATCTGCCAATTTATGTTATTCAACAGCTCAAGTAAAGCTTACATTTTCCAAAATTTTTATTTTAAAGAGGAAGATGAAAACTTGAAAACAGTTCTTAAAGTCCTTTATTTTTCGACTGCAGGAAACAGTTTAGATTTGTCAAAATTGTTAAATTTGTCAAAATGCAACATTTTCTAAAGTTGTTTTATCTTTATATTTCTGATTGCTCTCTGAATCCTTGGATATTGTCGTTTAGAAACAAATGCCTTTGTGAAAATGTGCTTTTGCAAATAATGGTTTACTGGGATTATCAAATGCTGATAAGCGAATTACGAAATGGTGAAGATGTAAAATTAGCATACAGAATTTTGTTGTAATAACAGGTTTTTATTAAATACAGAAAATTGACATTTTCTATGTTATACCCATCTAACGTTCAGCTGATTTTAGCAAACTAAAAAAGTTTAATAATTTCAACAACTGCATATCGAACTGTTTTGATAAATCAAAAAGAAAAAAAAATTGATTATAAGTACATTTTAATTGTTCAGTTTCACAGTACTTGTTTTTGAATCATTAAATTACTGCGAATTAAAAATAATCTTGTTTGATGCTGGATTCTGAATGATTAGTTGCTACCTATAATTCTTTGTTGTGCGCTCTTATATTTTTGGCTTCTAAAAGTGCACAAGTAGATTTTGTATTTCTAAAAGTCAACTTATGAAACAATCATTGTTTGATTTTAATTGGTATTAAGCCTAGTTTACAACGGATAATGATATTACCGATAGACGATGGTATCTGTATGAGCCATAAACGAACTTATGTGGTTAAGAAAGCTGTCATTTATTTAAGCTTTTTTAAACAGCTTTAAGCAGTTAAAGTATGAAGAAATTTAGACATTGTTTATATATTTTAATAGCAACGATTATTTTATACATAAGCCTAGAAGTTGATGACAGCAAATGGGTGATGAAGCATTTTTTTTTATAACTTTTTTGCACAATAAACTTTTAGTCTAAATCTATGTTCCACTGAAATAATTATAAATTACCCGAATTTTGAATTATAATTATCTAAATAAGATAAATTTTTTACCTTTGGCGCATGAAGAAAAAACAAAGAAGCAAATTAGCAGGAAAACGAGCATGGTTCACTGCTGAAGAATATGCAATAATGAACACTTATCAAACAGCTTATAAGAATAAAGAAAAAACCGAAACAAAAAAAGGCTATAAAACTATTGAATCAAATAAACTGTTTGAAAAGTAATTACTCTAATCATTCAGTGTTTTATTGCTGATATTGTTTATTTACTGTGACGTGATTTTTATGTGTTAAATTTAATGACGGTATGTATCAAAAAGTTGACCGTCAAAGATTACCATATACTTTGGTCTTAAGTATTTGAATATTACTTTTTGAAGTTTTTGATTCCTTTCTATGCCACCTTTAATTGGTGTCAGATTAATCAGATAAAGTTCAGGTATCAGCAAACGAATAAATGACTATTATCACTGTAGTTTAGCCTAAACTCTGGTCAGGCTTATGCAGTTACGATACTTTAGATTACTTTGCAGTAATCAAATAATGTAGCAGCAATAACAGCTGAGCAATTATTGAGAGCACTTCAAATCTGCAATCGTTATCAAAACTATGTTTTTTTAGTTCTTCGTCGTCCTGAGGTTAACAAAAAATCTACTAAACTGTTGGTTGTTTAGTAATCAAGTGTCAAGATTAGACAAGTCTTTTTTTTTCTTCTGTATTTGCTAATGATATTGGTACAGTATTTCTTCTTCTTCTTCTTCTTCTTCTGCTAATTCGTCTTTTTTTTTTTTGTTTTTGATTATTGTACTTTATCATCATCATCACCATCATCATTGAACTCGTTGTTATACATTTTATTTACTGCTTTTATTCTTTAGCACTGTTGTCAAATATAGAAGAAAACAAAAAAAAAAAAAAAAAATTAAATCAAGAAAAAGAAGAGGAAAGAAAAAAAAAAGTGAGAGAGGAATAAATAAGGAAAAATAAAAATAGAAACAAGGCAAAAAAAAGAAGGAAGTTTTGAGACAGAAAAATGTTGTTGTTAAAAATAAACACCAACTGAATTGATGGCATAAATTTATACTGTTTATGCCAATATTC